CCGTCCGTCCGTCCCCGCCCCGCGGCCCGTCCGTCCGTCCCCGCCCCGCGGCCCGTCCGTCCGTCCCCGCGATCCGTCCGTCCGTCCCCGCCCCGGGGGCGGTGCTTGCGATCGGGGAGCGGGACCCTGGCGCGGTTTGATTTGGAGGCCGGTGTCCCCGGGCTCGAGGGGTCCCCGTGAGGGCGCAGGGGGTCCGCCTGCGCGGCCGTGACGGCGCCGGACTGTGCCCGCCGACGGGAAGCAGGGGGTCGCGCCCTGGCCGGAGGGAGGCCCCGCCCGTAGTGCCCGCAGCACGTGCACCGCAGAGGCCGGGCTGGCTCTTTAACCCCACGTCTGTAGTAGGCTTTGGGTGAAGGCAAAGGCGCTTCGCACTCAGCAGCGTGTGTGTGTTCGGCTTGGGCCGTGTAAGAGCATCACCTCCGCCCGGGCCCATCCTTCCTGCCCCTCCTGCCCTCTGAGCCTTGTTTTTAGGTGAATGCGGCCCTTTGGGTCTCCTGCTGTGGGTGGGTCCCTCACCATGGCGAGTGTTCACTCAGCTTGTCAGGGAGGTCATCGCTGGGGTGGACCACTCCAGGTGTGAAGGGTGTCAGAGGGCCGCATCTCAAGGCCTAGCCACGCTGGCCTTTTCTATGATTTTGGACATTTCCCCCCTTATATTTTTCCTCCGATTCTGTCCATCTAGTTCCTCTGCGCTCAGGGAGGATGTGGTTCCTTAGTCCCTTGGACTGATTGTTTCCTTGAGAGAGAGAGAGAGTGTGTGTGTGTGTGTCTGTCTGTCTTTCTCTCTCTCTGTGTGTGTGTGTTCCGTCCAATCGGATCTGACTGGTACAGGAGGAGATTGCCCCTCCTTCTCCAGCAGAGCATCTGGTGGATTCGAACTGTTCACCTCTGGGATTACAGTGTTACAGTGCAGCTTCTTGCCACTAGGCCACCAGAGTTCACCCGTATTTTACTTTCTATCTCTCTTTTTGCTCTAGACAGGAAGAGACCTATAGTTGTCTCTTGGATGGCCAAGTCCTGCTGCTACTCATAATATGAAGAAAAAAAAAATTCACTTGCGTGTAAACAATTTTATTACTAGATTTAAGCCTTCCACTTGATCCTAGGAGAACCTCCAAACTCTTGGCTGTCTCCTTTACTTGAGCCAGTGCCCCTGATGGCTTCCCATTTGTGTTGCTTGGGTTTTGTCTTCAGGACAGATGTGAGGCCCAGCCAGGTGTGCTTGTTCTAGGTATGGGGAGGAGTGCCAAGAGAAATTCAGATATGATTTAGGGCAGCAGGAGAGGACTCTTGGAAGCCTGTTGATCAAGCCAGCGGTGAGATTTCACACTGTGGAAGCTTCTGTCTGTAGTTTATGCTGAGCAGAAATGGAGGCAGAGATGCCTATTCCAGGGAACTGTCACGTGATGACTTGTGTGCCCTGGCATCAGACCACTGAGAGAGCAAAGGCTCAGAAAAGAGTCTGTCCTGAGAAACAAGATGTTTTAGGCAGTATTGTCTTTTTTCTTTTTGTTTAAACAAAATCTCTCATTGCATTGTTTTAAGAGGAGGTTTGATTACTGAAGGATGCAGCCTCCAGAAATTGTTCTAGAAAGGGCATTTCTCTTGAATTTTGTTTGGTTTGGGGGTTTTTATGGGGCATGCATGCGTGGGAGAGGATGGCCCTAACTGATTTCTGGAAATCTTTTTTTTATAAATAGCATATCCAAGGGCTCCAGGCTGCTTCTCGATCAAGAGGAGAGATAATGTCTTTTCTGGTCAGTAGTTAAATCAGAAACTCAGTTTCTTGGGCATTAAGTCAGAAGTTTAGGTTTGACAGTCTTTGGAAAGAATGCCTGGACTTGGTTGCGGGTGAGTGCCTTGCTCGGTATTGAGTAAGACTGTGGGTTTCTGACGATTGCTTTGCCTTATTCGGTTTGCAGTTTTTTCTGAGTCTTTGTGTTTGGGGTTATTCATGTCTGTCGTGACCACTCACCCTCTGATGGCTGCTGACTTTCATTTCTTCCCCATTGTTCGTTTGGGCCTCCCAATTCCTCCTTCCCTGAATGATGTGGTTTCTTGTAACTGTTGCAGTCACTGACATGGTGATAGTAGTCATGTGTTAAATGCTATTAGGTTTGACTCTGCCTGTCTGACTCAGTGGTTGGAGTGCTGGGGAGAGTAATGATGCGAGGGAACGCTTCTCTGTCGTGGTTTCCTTTTCAGCATAGAGACAGCAGATGCTGCTTCTTACAGTGACTTCTCGGCAGGCATCTAGAAGTGCTGTCATTTCTTTTTAAGCCTCTGCCTCTTTGATAATTGTTATGATCTGTTGGATTCACTCATTTATTCAACACATGTATGGAGAGCCCTGCTGTGCTGTGCTAGAAAGTCTTGCCTCCAGAACACTCAAACCCACAGTTACTGCAGAGTACGGCAAGCAGGTCATGGTAGCACCTATCAGGGACGCCTGGAGGTCACCAAAGGCTTGCCAGGCGCACCCAGCTGCTTCATGAAGGAGAGAAAGGAGTAGAAGAGTGGAGAAGTGGGTATTCCAGACCTAAGGAAGGGGAGTTAGTGACTAGGCTGAAGGCATCCCTGAAGTCTGAAAAATGACAGTTTCCAGGAGCTGAAGGGGTTAGAGTTGGGGGGAGGTGTTAATTAGGGGAGGGAAGGGGAGAAGAGCCAGCCACATGCCTGGGCTGGAGGCCTCCAGAGTTGAGCTCTGAGATTCCTGGATGATTTCTTTCTTTTCTTTTCTTAAAAAATTATATTTATTGTAATTGATATTTTAATGAATGTTTACAGAAAACTTGGGTTTCCATTCATTCATTGTTGCACATTTTCCTCCCTATCCCCCCTACCCCTTTGCTTTTCTCTTTAAAAAGATTCTTTGTTGCCAGTGATTTCTTTTCATAATGATCCAGTTCTGAGATAGATGGTGGGGATTTCTACAAAGTCAGGAGCAGTGGGGCAAGGAAAGAGGGTGGATTAGAAGCAGCGTGAATGGGAGGGTTTGGTAGGGAGTGAGGGGGTTCTTAGGGTCTGTTGCCAACTCGTAACTGGGCGGCACATTTGACAGGAACGGTGGGAAAGAGGGCCAGGTTGGGGGGAGCAGGGCTAAGGTGAGGTGGAGGTTCCTCAGAGTCCAGGTGCCTCCGCGGAGATGGTCAACACCCAGCGGAGGGCAGATCTGTATAGTGTGGGACGGGCAGCCTCAGGCTTTGTTCTTTGTTTTTTTTCGTTGAATCCCCAGTCTACACACAGTTGGCTCCTAGCTTTAGTTGATGGAACTCCAGTGGGAGATGGGTTCAGAAGACACTGGCTTCTCTTCCTGACCGGTTGGCCATCCATGCCAGGCAGTGTTTCCTCCATGGCTTGCTGCTTGGTTTTTCCAGAAGGATCAGGAAAAGGCCCACACTGTTGTTTGTGGGGCCACTGAGTGGAGCCCACTCACGTGCACATAACAGCATTCTCGGTCTGCATCACGTGTCTAGAGAAATCCTTATTTTTGCAATGTAAGTGCCAGTTTCTCTGTTCTGGGTGATGGATGTGTATATGTTGTAGAGGAGCTTTTACCATCACTGAGTTCTGAGGGAAACAGGTGATGGCAGACTGTTTTTCTAGGTCTTTCTTCTGCAGCCGGGGCAGGTAGGCATGCTCCTCTTCAACCTATGAATAGACCCAACTGCTGACACCCGCACCCCCCACCCCCAGTCTGTGCTCTAGGAAGAACGGTGGTTTCCAGAAGTTACTTTCTCTTTACACTTTCTGATGCAGGGAACCCAGTTCTCCTTCCTCACGCCACCACTTGGCTTATTCATACTTCCACTGCTGTGGCGTTGACTCTGCCTCCAGGGACCAGCAGCTTCTGTACTTCACATGTTAACAAGGAGACTAGACTGCCCGTCTTTCTCCTTTGAGTGATGAACGATCTTCCAGTTAGCACCCCTCATGTTGACCCGTTGTGTCATGAGTGCTCCTTTATAGAAAGGGTGGGGGCCAAATCATAATTTCCTCCAATAATACAAAGGTGATCTTGCAGTTTCTGAAAAGAAAATTAATGGTGGTCTGACTGTCCCAGTCGAAGCTTGGTCAGGGAATACGGGCATTAGGATCCCGTGACAGTTAGCCTTGGTTGATCTGCTGTGTGCCAGGTAGACAGATAGAGACCACCCAGAAGTGAAGGAATCCACTTGTCGACCCTGTGGTGGGATTCCTTCTGGAGGACTTTCCGAGCTGTTGGTTGGGCTTCAGTGCACTGGTTGCATTCGGCTGTCAAGGAGTGGGGCAGGGCCACAAGTGTATTTGAGATCTCCAGCTCCTCACAGGAATTGACTTCCTGCTGGATGATGAGTACTGGCCGCCCAGCCTGGTGTGGACTTTTGTAATCTCCGGGAACCTGCACTCATTTCTCTCACTCGGTTAGTCCTGCGTCAGTCAGGAGGGCAGGGCAGCAGGAAGTGTGCTGTACCTCCTGTAGCCTCTCGGGCTTTCTCAGTAAGGGCCTGCTGCTGGACTTTCTCAGCACTTCACCTTTTACTTTGCAGTGCGTGTAACTGAGGGGGAGGGAGGGTTTTTCTTAAAAAGTAGTTTCTGAAAACAGTGCAGTCCTAAGAGCTTCGTTTCTTTTTATAACTTTCCTCACCATCGTATGCAGATTTGGACAGGCTCCAAGCCACGGTTCATGTGGTGATCTTATCTAGGAGTTGCAGAAGGTTCTTGGGTCTTTGGCCTGTGACTCAGCCCACCTCCAGGGACCATTGTAAATGCTCTGCA